ACAGAATCTTGCGCAGGCAGGAAGTATGTTTGAAATAAGAAAAAAAAAAAAAAAAAAATAGTATAATTAACTAACTTCATTTATTTATTAGCTAATTTTATGGTAGTTGACTGCGGTGATCGTATAGATTTAACAACTTGCAAATTATTAACTAATGATCAATTAGGTGAAATAACTGAAAGATCTGGCGATTCTTGTGGGAGTACTTTTATTGATGCAGAGTTTATTAAATATTTACGAGGGATACTAGGAGATGTACCTATGGATTTGCTTAGAGATAATGGACAAATGCAATATTTGGTTCAACAATTTTGTGATTATTGTAAAATGCCTTTTACAGGAGATGATCAAGACTTTTTATATGAATTGGATATTGAACATACGAAACGATACATTAAAGATGATAATACCAGGAAAACTTTAGAAGATGACGAATGGGTAATTGAAATTAATTTTGAAACTATGAAATCAATATTCGAACCTGTTATTCGAAACATTCTCAATCTGATAAAAGCGCAGTTAGATAACGCTCAAGAAACTTTTTCTGCAATGTTTTTAGTTGGGGATTTCAGTGAATCAAAATATTTACAAAAAAGTATTAAACAAGAATTTAGTCATCGAGTTTTTAATATTTTAGTTCCTCTTCAACCTACAGCAGCAATTTCACGTGGAGCAGTAATTTACGGATTACCTATTAAATCAAATGATTTGAATAATGTTGGAAATTCAAAAAGTTACACATCATTTTATACTATTAGTTCTTAACAAAACGACTCATAGCAGATAGATATGTTATATGATTTTCTTAGCATAGAGCTTTTAGAAGAATTTATGACATTAATAGAATGTTTAACTTGAAAAATGGAACAAAGAATACGCAAACTGTCAAAATTATGGAACTACTTTTAAATTTACCTCGATGGTCAAAATACTTTATTTAAATATTTAAGGGCAAGTAAATACAACTTATTTAAAAATAGAAAGAAATTTATATAATGTACTTTATCAATAATAAATATGAAAATTTTAATAAATATACAAAATAAATGTTGAACAACCTTCCTCATATAGCTTAACTTAACTATTTAAACAAGCTAGATAAGGACTGTTTGTCACTTTGTCGCAAAACGCATGATTTGTAAAATTTTGGCAAATATCCTGTGCGAAGTTGTCTGAGGACCGGTTCACAAGGAACGGTTCTTTCGATCTCACAGTCCATGTTTAATGATTTGAACTGAGCTACGACTCTGACCCGTGTAACTAAAAAGTTTCAGAATTGTGGTCATGTGATTAATAGTGTCGACCGACATTACAGAACTCGCTCTTTTCGATCCTGCAAAATTACGATTTAATGACGTTTATTAGAATTTAAATTTACAAGTGGTATATTATGCAGCCAAATAGGATCATGTTGTTTTTAACATACTGATATTTTTAGATAAATTATTATTGCATAAATATTTGAAATTGCTTTCATCTAAAAAAAAGGTTCCTTCAAAATTTATTTCTTACTTTCGTAAAAGATTTTGGAACCACGTACACGATAAGTTAGTTTTATAAAAAAAAAATAATTAAAATTTTCAACGTTCTATTTTCGAATAGGACCTTGCATGTACACATAATAGTCCAGAGTAAATACGATCAAGAACAAGAATGAAGTTTTAAACGTCTAACTAATGCTCCATATACCTAATTCACTTACCCTAATTTCACGTACAGTAATTCATTTGATGTGTGATATATAAGGATGACAACTAAAACTTTTCACAAAAAAGAGTCAATATCCCATTAATTGATTGTAATTGTTTATTAAATTTCTAATTAAATTACTACGCTATAACACGAATAATAATTATTCTGGATTAAGTTTCGCGATCTAATTAATATTTACCTAATAATGATCAAGTAAATCTTCTTTGCACCTATCTACCTCAGAATAATTTAAGCAAAGGAGAATAATATGAGAAACATAATTTATAAAAAATCCGAATCATATTACCTCTTTTTGGTGTAACAAAAGTAGATTGAAATCTATTATTAAAAGTTATTATTGAATTAACTCTTTTAGTTCTATTATAACTTTACGATAAGTTTAAGTCTTTGTGAAAAATTTATTATGTGACCATAGACAACCCGTAAGTTACTGCGCCGCGTGCCATTGCAGCAGTAGGTTGAATTGGAACCGAAATAATTTTCACTTGATTTTGAAATTCTTCTCTAACTCTATTTTGCAAATATATTGATTCGCTTAAACTTCCAACTAAGAACATCGCGGTACATATTACTTGAGATTTATATAATTGATCATTTATCAAGTTAAAAACTTTCTGGATAATAGGCTCAAGCATTAATATCATCCCTTTGTAATCAATTCTAATTATCCATTCATTTTTTTCTAATTTTTTCCTAATACTTTTATTAATGACATATTTTGTTAATATCGGAATTGTATCCTGAATATCCAATTCATATGAAAAACTTGAATCTCCTTTAAAATGAATTTTAACAGAATTACAAAATTGTTGAATCATAAATTGCATTTGTCCATAATTATTATCTCTAAGTAAATCCATAGTATCATCTCCGAGCTTTTTTCGTAAATATTTAATAAATTCAGCTTCGATCAAAGCGCTTTTGCGAATACCACTGGTTCTTATAATGATTTCACTCAATCGTTTATCATTTAATTTCTGTAAAGATAAATCTATTGTATCATCATCACAATTGACCATCATAAAAATGTCTGAGTAATAAAATGTAATTTGATTAATGATACGATCCAAATTAAAATTAAAAATTAAATAAATTGAAATTTCATACTTCCTGATTTAAGAGTTTGTGCTTTGGGAATATTTTCTATACAGTGTGCTGCCGCTGCTTCAGCTATAAAAATAATGGTTTATTTAATTAGGAATTTATTTAAAAACAATTACTGTAAGTTATAATTTATATAATCTCACATTCTGTAGTGAATTGCAAATTTGCTGAGAACTTGTCTACGAGTAAACCTGCTTTATATGCACATTCTCTCATAATTTCTTTGGAATTTTCTGGATATACTGCGGGAACAGTAAGGACCAATAACACATTTTCGAAAAAATTAATATTTGGCCAGTTTGTTTTAACCGTTTTTTGAATCACCTTAAAAAGAATGTCAATAAATTAGCAAATGATTTTTTTTATTCAAAAAAACTAAAACAATGTAATATTGATCATACCTTCCCAATTTCTCGAAGATAATCAGTGATAGCCTTTTTATATTTAATTGGAAGTATAGGTTTTAAATTGTCTGGCAAATCACTTAGGTGTAAAATAAACAACTCAACGAATTTATCGTTTTTAATGTTTCGAGTTTTAGCTAAAGCTGGTGTTCCCCACAACTTTACATTTTTATATGTTTCGTCATATTGAAGAACTGTATTGGTTCTTAGTTGGCCAACTTTCTCATGCCAAATATCATTTGTACGTATACATTGATTCCCACTAACATGACAATAGGAGAATAGAGAGTATTTCGTTCCAAAGTCTAACCCAACCACTACGCGAATTTTGGATTTTTCTGGTTCTTAATAAATAAAATAAATGTAAAAATATATAATTAGTAACTAATTGCTTTATTTCGATAAACATCCAAAAAGGCTTCCTACATACTTTTGTTAAAGGTGCTTCTCGAATATTCTTCTTTGAAAAGTTGGTTATTATTATTATTATTATTATTATTAATTATTATTGGAGAGTTTGCTTTTTCAATATTATTTTTCTGAAAACGAACATTTTGTATTTCTACTTTATATTTTGCTATTTGATTATCTTTTTCTATTAGAGAATTTTTTAAATCATCATATTTTTTATTAAGTAGTTTTATCTCTTCATTTTTTTCTTTTTCTAAATTTACGATTAATTGTTTAAGATGCTGATTTTCTTCTAATAAATTTGTTAATTTATTATTTAATTTATTGAAACCAATTCCAAGTTCATCAATAATTTTATCAGTGTTTTCTTCAAGCATTATTTACTGTATATTTTTTTTAGTTAGGGGAAATAAAAATAAACAGTAGTCATAAAATAGGTCTAAGTTATTTAAATTTGCTTGTTAATTTGTTTGAAGTTTGAGTACAAAATTATAGTGCAGGCAGCACTGCATATTTCCAAAAATGGCATATCATTTAGTTCTTTGAAAATGTTTTCGTTACATTACATATATAGTAAATTAATTAATTAAATAATGTTTTATATAATTTTCCCAATATACAATAAAAAAAAGCCGCAGTATATAAGAGAAAAATAATGAATATATTTATAACTTCCGGCGCAGAATTAATATTCCCTGTCTATATAAAATCATTTGCGTGTAATTTTTTTTTGTAATTTGTAACTGAAAAGTAAAGAAATATTATCTTTAACTTTTATTAAATTCTTGGTGACTAATTAGTAATTACTTCACATTTCTTCCGTATCACGTGACCAAGAAATTGAAAAATCATTCTAATATATTTTGCAAATCCAAGACTTATCCATTTAAAGATATTATTCATAATTTATTCTAAAAAAAAAAATTGGTAATTTATTTTTAATTTGTTAAATTCAAATCCAATCAAGTTTATTAGTAATTTTATCGGTCTTTCTTTCAAAAATGCTTTTTTATTAGAGAATGTATACTGTATGTCGTTTTCAATTTTTTTATGAATTCCAATGATTGATTTTTTTTAATAAAAAAAAAAATAAATAGAATAAAATCGGTATTAACAAAAATCCGATTTATTAATCTCATTTGAGGACTGAAATGACAGATTAGTACAATTGCGTAGAGAATTCCATTATTCAATTATAACATAATATTTCAGCTTTGTTATAGTTTTTTACTACGAATGCAAAGTGTATTAGTAATGAATAATTAAGTTATTATGAATGAATGGGATAAATATTTTATTTTATTTTTATATCTAGATTCTAGATGGAAACACCGGTACAATAAAATCTACGGAACAATGAATACCTACGATAGTAGAAATATACTAATTGTAATTTAGTCCGCATGCCATCCGACCTCCAACCAAGAATTGTAAATGAAATATACTACATACACAACAAATTGTCAAAATTAATTAATGAAACAGGCATGGCACAGAAATAGAAGGTGAGACGTATTCCAAAGGGTAAAATTTTTTTAAAAAACACCTATGGTGGCTAAACCACACAGTCCGAAATTTTAAAAATCTATAAAATAAGTTACACAATATAATTAAATAGTATTTTATTTTTAAATATAATTTTTGCCACGTAAGCGGCAAAAAATATTTTTGCCGAGATTCCATGGAATTCTTGTGAAATCCGTAAAAATTTCGTGAAAACTAGTCCGAAATTTTCTATTTTTACTATTATCACTTATTAAAATTATCAATTTTGATTCATGATTAAATCCTGCCAGAACATTTCCAACATTGTTTACAACTTAATAATATTATTAAATCTTATAAAATAAACCGATAAAAATGTGCAGTTATCATTATGTTGATTAGTTTATGAATTATAAAAGTTGAAGTCAAATAATATTAGTGTGGTTTATATGCGATAGCCACCATACAAGGAAAAAAATAAAAAAAAAAATAAAACTATAATTATTACAAATTAGTTCATTCCGAGAATAACGGACCTACAACTAAGCCAATTCACCATCGGTATTGTAAGGCGTAATGTAGATTCTCCCGAAGAATCCAATTAGCACCTAGCTGTTTTAATGAGTTTATAACTTTATTATAATTTCAACAAAGTTCGTGTGAAACTTCTCTATCCCACAATTTTAATTGGAATATACTGTCTGAATATTGAAAACTACGGTCTGAAATTTGATTTCCATTTCAGGTAAAGTCCATTTGTCTGAGAATCGAAATACCGTACAGCCGGCACAGGTATGTCTCCAAATTTAAGTCCAAAAACCTCAGTCAAAACTTGTGACAGTGAAACTACTCATACTCAACGCTTCTGTTGTTTTTGATAAAAACTGAAATCGTAGTACCTCATGCCGTAAAACGTAAATTCATTTAAAAACTTTCCAGGTCATAGATCAATATATCTGGCTTTTTTCTGCCAAGATAGTTACGATTTTCTGTGGTGATCTGGTTGATTAGCCGTAAATACGATTCGTACGATTCGTCGATTCGTTCATCAATGCGTCAGATGATAAACATTTTTTTTTATAATCTAAATTTATCACGTGATGTTTACACGTTAGCCATTTCTTCTCAGTTTTTCTTTTTTTTCGAAGGGTAGGTCTCTTATGGGCGAGCGGTTTTAGACTTTAGTTAGTTATTTTAGTATAGAACTAACTTATACTTTGTACCTCACCGCTCTTGTACCTTCTTTTTTTATGTAACTGTTCATGATTTCGACAACTTTTCTAAAGTAAAAAATAAAATGAAATGAAATGGAATGAAAGTTAAAAGCAATCATAAGAATGTTCAGAATTAATCAAATAAAGAAGAATGTTCAACAAGTTTGTAATTTAAGAGTCTTGATTATTTAATATACATGTGGTCGAAATTCAGCCATTTCGGGTTTCGACTAGAATTTCATCCCCAAGCAATTTTTTTTTTTTTTTTTTACAATATCTAAAGGTGTTAATTTTGTTATTTTGTTTATATGTACTGTACATATAATGGTCTAAAAAAATTTTTTTTTTATTTTTGATCATTTGATAATGTAAAAAAAAATTTTTAATAGATACATAATTTTTATTATGACTTTGTTTAGTTGAGCGGGTTAATTGTGAGTGTTGATTTAATTAGTCATAAATGATGAATTATTCAATGGATATATGAGTGTATTGTATCCTATATGTTATTTACTATAGGAATTTACCGAATGATTTTTTTTTTTATATTTTCAAAATATATAGTTCTTTAATTCACCTCCAAAGAACCGAATCTACAAAAATAAAAACAAAGAAGCATTGGCAGCGTTTCAAAAAAAAGTTTCAAAGTCTTACCTTCGAAACATATATAAACCCAGACCACGCGTCAATTATTGATATTTATGTAACCGGCGCTCCTACGAGCCCTTTTATTGTAATTAATAAAATTTATGATGCATTATTCATTATATCATTCTTAATCCAAGTATCCACTTACAAAAGAACAAATGTTTATTAAAACGACAAAAAAAAATATTTCAAAGTTTTAACTTCGAATTTATTATTACCTTCGAAACATATCCTGTCACGCATGATCGAGGCCGAACTTACAACGAACTTACAAAAAACGAAACTTTAGTAATGTTTCTTTAAATAAAAAAAAAAGAAAGATTAAAAAATTTTGAAGTTGATGTTAAACTTCGAAACTTCAAGACTCACCGCAATTGCCATTCACGAACACCACCACCAACACTTACCAGAAGTCCGAGAGTCCACTAAGAAGTCAAAGTTTACAAAAAAAAGTATTTTAATTATGAACGAAAATATAAACACTGACATCAAAATGAAAACTACTATAATGAATCATTATTTACGTTCACTTATTAAATAGAAAAAAAAAGAAAAAAAACAGGTTTCGTCTAGAATTTCGTATTTTGACCCACCCTCGGTAATAGGTTTAGACCTGAGTTTCAGAGTTTTTGATTCGACCGTATCTTTGGAAAATTTTGGCCATTCACATATAATTATTACGGTATTTATAAAATCATAACTTTATTATTTGATTAAGTTTTTTATCTTTAAAATCTCTGATTAATACATTATCTCGTACAGTATTTGATTTAATTTATACGACAGCTAATTTTATAATACTGTAATGGTATATTGATTTACGAATATAAAAATTAATATACAATGAATTGAGATTCCTATTCGATTTTCATTCTTAAGATTTTCAGTTTTAAGTTCTTATATTTATTTATGTGTTTCCAATTTTCATTTTGAGATTCTTACCATTTAAAGCTTTAAATAAATCTTTACTTTTGATTAAGTAATCGTATCTCATCATTTTTCTGATTTTTGATTTTTTTTAAATATTCAATCAAAAGAGATTTTATGTCATAATGTCATTTTTAAATTTTTTTAAATTACGTTAGTATTATTATTTTATTTCAAATTTTTAAAAATTTTCGTAAATTTTAAAAAAAATGTATAAGTACTATGTATATTTTTTGCCTATTTCACAATTTACTTAAAGTGTCAAAGATATCATTTTTGATTATTTAACAGTTAACAAATTATTATTTTTTTTTATTAATTCCGGCTAACATTAAAAAATCCATCCTTTTTTTCCTTTTTTTGTAAATCCTAAAAAAATAAGTGGAAACCAGGGGGTAAATTTAAAATCAGGAATTATACCTGTTGATCATGCAGAATGAAAGTGGATTGACAACATGCATTGTTACAAAAATTCTTTTTTTCTCAAAGCTTATTTGAATTCAATAACGCTGACAAAATTTTTTTAAAAATAAATATTGTTTCTTTATTATATTCTAAATGATTAAATGACAAAATGACTTCAGTAAAAAAATGGATTGAGGAAAAGATAAAGAATGAATATTTTCGTTATTTTGAATATGAGGAATTTAGTCCTATCAATGAAATTGGTAGAGGAAGTTTCGGTAAAGTGATTAAAGCAAATTTGGCTAATACGGGATTGGTCGCATTAAAAATTATAATTAGTAAAAATTCAGATGAACATGATGAGGTTAATGATGAGTTTATCAAAGAGGTAAATTGACTTTTCTATGTTGTACAGTATATTAGCTTGGTATATACTGTACATATATAAAATAAAATTAATTCCGGTTTACCATTTTTTTTAGTTAAAGCTCCTTCGCGAGGTTGATTATCATCCAAAAATCAATCGTTGTCTAGGAATAACAAAAGGTTTATATTAAGATTTTTTTTTTTAAAAAAAAAAATAATTTATTTTTATACATTTCAATCTAACTTATTCATATTTAAAATTAATAGATTCTGAGAATTATATTTTGGTGTTGGAATATGCAAATGAAGGAAGTTTAAGAAAGTTTTTGGAAAAAAATTTTACTTCTTTGAAATGGAATGATAAAATTCAAATGGCATTGGATATTACTAATGGATTAAAATTACTTGGTAATGGAGTATTTATTTACTATACTAATATTTTGTTTATATTTTTGTTTGAGATTTTGTTTTTCGATGATAATTTTAATAAATATTATCAAATCATTTTGTAGCACTCAAAAAATATATTAGTGAATGATAGAAAATTATTAATTGCAGACCTTGGACTATCTAAAAAGTTGGCAGAAATTACAACTAATTCAGTGGGTAATAGACAAGGAATGATTGAATATATTGAACCACAATGTTTTAAGAATATCAGGTATAAAAAAGTCAAGAAGTCTGATATCTATAGTTTAGGTGTTTTATTATGGGAAATTTCAAGTGGGCGTCCTCCTTTTTCTGACTGTCCACGGGATTTAATTAAAGATCACATTAAAGATGGTAATAGAGAAGAACCAATTGAAGGTACACCTACAGAGTATCGAAAACTTTATCAGGAATGTTGGGATGGTAAACCAGAATCAAGACCAGATATTGAAAAAGTACATGAATTTTAAGTCAGTTATTAATAAATAATGAAGTTTCTTCACAACCTAATACTATACGTAATAGTTATGATAATGACGATTTGACTATTTCTTCTAATTATCCAAGTCTAAATTTAATAAGTAAGTTTAATATATTAAGTTATAGTGGTTACTAATAATAATGATTTTTTTTTATTACACGTTTTCAACACTAAAATTACAAAACTTAATTTTTAATTGATAAGATAATCAAAATTTATCAACTGTACTAGATAAAGAATTCGCAGAAAAAGAAAATACTTCACGGGCTCAAATTCCTTATCTGCAAAATGAAAAGCAAGTCTTGACTGACAATTTAACTGAACAATTGGAATTAGAACTAAACCAAAATTTCATTAAAGAAGAAACATCACAAGGTCAGTCTGCGCTTATTACAAATTATCGAATGGATGATGACGATAAGAATCGTTATGTTCAACTTAAAAGGGATATTGAAGAATTACAAAATAAGTTAAAGTGTTACGTCACAACATTAAAAGGAGATTTTGAGATCGATTTCAAGGAGGTTAATAATCTTATGGGAAAGTATAATATTAAAACTAAAATTACATCCAACCAGCCAAACAAACCGTTAATTAGAGGAGTTTTACAGCATCATATAAAAACGATAACAAAGGATATTAGAAAATACTTCAAAGAAAATTTAAATGAACATTCGATAATACATTTAGAAAAAGAGATTGCAACAACGGCAAAAGATTTAGAAAATAAATTAGCTTATTTCTTTAAAACTCGAAATGGAGATGACACAATAACTCAGCCAGCTTCAATAAAAGTACGACAAGACGTCAATATCGCTCTTGGTAATCGAGGATTTTCAGATGTCTTGTCAAATGGAAACTATACATCACATGTTTACATTATTATGAAAACAACCGAATTAAATAGAGAAATGAATAAATATCGTATAATAAAAGATGTAAACAAAAAAAATAATGTTGAGAAATTGGCGCCATATTTAATTCGAGAATTTATTAGAATATTTCAATTTCGCTTAAAGGTTCAAGAACCTAGTGCTCAAATGAGATGGATCAAAACAGAATCTAGTATTGACCCAAGCATTATGGGAGGAAATTGGGATGAAGATGACCTTGATAACTTAGAAGTTGAAATTTGTTCTTTTCCAATGATTGGTTGTGATTTGGATGATGTGTATAATCGTAAAATATATTCGTGCTCAGGTATTCACAAAAAGGAAAAAATTCATTACAAAAGGAATAGACTATTTGACGTCCAAAAAAGCTAAGGTATATTTAGAACTGGAATCGGACCACGATTCATACAATGGAGAAGATTAGATATATTTTAATATTCTATTCTCAAATAAAATAAAATTGAAATACAAATCATATTACTTGGAGGTAATAAAAAAAATTATAAACTTTCGTTACGTATATATTTATTAATAAAAGAATTTATTCGAATAATAATTTATTTAATAATGATTTTAATAAAATCTTTGTTTGATTAAAGCCCTAATTTTAATTTCCATTCAATCAAAAAAAATGTACAAAAGCTTATTGTTCTCAAATTGATGAGGTTGATAAGTAATTCTCCATGCAATCAATTTCTTGGTCAATTGTAACATTAATTTCACATACTGTAATACAGTGAAATTTATAAATTCTCCCATACAGAATCAGCAATGATGCAAGATTGATTTCTTGTTTCTTTTTCAATTTAAATAGAGTTCGATCATCTTCAGCAAATGATAACATATATTTTAATGTTTCTTGACCAAGTATTGCAATTGATCATAATACCCATCTTCTACAGCTTTATTTCTACTTCACGTTCAAGAAATTGAATGAAAACATTTCCTATTCATACATAATTACGTTAAATCTATCGCCGCGATAGATGATCATATGATCAAATCACTGCTAAAACATACGTTCGGTTGTTTTCGAGTTAATCCACATTTTTCATTTACAGCTTTATCGTCTTCTAAATATTTATGAAATCAAATTCAGACTAGTATCAAAAATATTTTAATTTTATAGTAAAAATAAATTTAATAAGTGAAATAATATAATTTAGAAAATTTAGTTATTAATCAACAAAGGTAATCTGAATTTGTTTTATTAAAATCTGTAGGCCATACCCCGGACCACTCACGATTTTCCTGAATCTCACCATATCATCATAATTTATCGATATGAATCAAAGAATCTTTTTTATCATATTAATTCTAACGTAGCATGACGAAACAATATTAGTTAATGAGAAATGGTCAATGTCTACGAAGGTAATATAATGTAATTACCTAAATAATTTGATATTAAAAGAATTGAAATGACAATATATACTACGATTTTACCTAGATCTAAATCAATCATGACTGTAATTGCTATATAATGTGAAGATTTAATATATACAGTATATAAGGATATCATGCATCTAAAAATAAATTTATTGGTAAAACCTTTCAAGAATTAATACAAATGAAGTAAAGCATGTTTTTTCAAAAAAATTTCGGCTTAATCACATTTTCTTGTTTGTTTTCTTTTTAAATTTTAATGTTCACATTTGAATAATTGAATATGATATCGAACTTCTATACCTTCAAAAACGTAATGTACACGTTATATAAATAACAGGTATGTATGATGATTTTTTACGTGATAAAGCGATTCTTTCTAATCAAGATTATTTATTTATTTATTTGATTTACTTATTTATTATTTATTTTATTTAATATGTAACAATGAAAGAATTATTATCTTTATTTTTATGTTTCAGAAATACGAAGCTGTAGTACAAATTATCAAAACAACTATATAAAGAATTAAAATCTAAGAACTTGAGCAGAAAAATTCTGAGCTCGAAGCTCTAAAACAAAGACTAAATGAATGTTTCCAAGAGAGACTTACAGAGTGAAAAGTTCAACTCGATGATTTATCATCGCTTCATACAGACAAAAAAATTATTTTAACGAAATTAGTAACCTCAAAGCTCAGCTCAAAATTTAACAACGCTTAAAGATTAAATAACCCAACGTTCGATGAGATGGATCAAAACGGGTTCTATTAAATTTGACCAAGTATTATGGAAGAAAATTTGGATAAAATAAAGTTGTTGATTTAGAAGTGGAAGCATATATATATATAGTTTCCAATGATTGGATGATATGGAGAAATGTAAAATATATACTTAGGCCACGCAAACTAATATTTTCGGTTCACTTCACCCGGCCGGGTCACTTTTTCAAAATTTGACCAAAAAATTTTTATATCTAAAATTTTTTTTTCACGTGATTTCAAGTGATTTTATTGGTTAAATCTTAAAATCTGCTTCCCAGAAATTAGATGACAAACATGAAATTGATATATCATTAGAAAAATCCTTCATTTTTGTCTCTTTTTCAACTGGTAAATCTTCCCAATCTTTTAAAGTTACAGAGTTGTAACTTATTCGTACATGTATGATAGGCATTTTTAGTAACAAACTGGAATGAAATTCATCTAATAAGTCACGTGACTTATAATAAAAATTTTTTATTAATAAAAAATAAAACCCGGGTCCCCGGGTCAATTTTAAATTTTAATGTTACGTGAACCGAAAATATTAGTTTGCGTGGCCTTATGCTCAGGTATTCACAAGAAGGAAAAAATTCACATCGTACTGTATGACAAGAAGGATAATTAGATAGTTTATAACAGGATTATCATATACTGCATCATATTTTTTAGTGTAATAGTGTAATAAACATAATGAATAAGTATTCAGAATGAATCAGTAGAAATTTTGTAGTTTTATGATTAATATTTATTTCAGTGCTACGTCTGGCCAAATATTGACATTTTTAAGCAATAAATGCATCATGAATTTTCTATGTATAGGATCCTTCTTTTCCTAAATTAACAAGTATATAATTTCATAATAAGGTCATTAAAATCTAAAATCCTCTTTGGCGTGATTCTCATTAATTTAATTATATAAAAGAACGCTATTCCATTAATTCGGAAAAGCAAAAAAAAAAAAAAGGAGGAATAATTAAAAATAAAAATAAATAAAATAAAAACAAATCAAATACCATATTCTAAATACGCTTAAGAAAAGTTAACGCTAAATAAAATTTTACATTATGATAGTATAAAAGAAAAAAAAAGTTTTGGAAAAATAATGTTTAATCAAAAATGCATAATACTACAAATACTCTAACATTGCTAATATTAGTGATGCTAACTTAAGTTTGTTATTTAATTACGAATTATATTCTTTATATAAGCCTATTTCTGCACTTTTAAGTTCTTTTATTTAAGTTCTTTATTTGAGCCTAATAAAAAAATAAATCAATAAATAAAATAATATATGGATAAAAAACAATGTTAATAATTCTTCAACAAATTAAACAAATTTTATGCTTTAATTAATATTCAATTAAGGAACATTAATTCGACAACATTCTAAAGATTCTATTTAATAAATAAAAAATTTCATTAATTTCTTTAACAAATGATTTATATTTTTTAAAATAACAAGATTATTATTTAATACCTGAAAATTCCTTGCTTATTATATTATCATTTTGTTCATAATAATCATCAGAATTTTTTGGTTCAGGAAGATCATTAAAATTGAGTAATCTACTTTCATATGATAATCCTAAACTAGTTGAAAGTATGGTGATATTTGGTGAATTGTTGTTAATATTATCTGCTTCTTCAATTTGTGCTTGTAATAATACTGTTTGTTTATCACTTGGTTTACATAGCCATGTGTATAGAATATTTTCAATTTCTTCTGCTTTTGGTCGTTTTAATGGATCTGAATCTAAGCATCTTTTAATTAAATGTATAATTAATTGAGGAACTTTAATACTAAACCTTGGTCTAAGTCCTTGACAAATTCCTATAGCTAAATTTTCATTATGGCTTATATTGCCCTATAAAAAAAGAAAATTCGGAATTTGTCCTGAAAAGTATGGAAAATGTCCGGAAATTTTCCGTGCGTCCGGAAAACATTCGGAAACGGTCATGTTTTGGAACATTTTCTGGACGCTCGATTCTGGACAAATTCTGGACAAATTCTGGAGTGTCAAGAAAATGTCTGGAATTTGTGCGTCCAGAAAGTGTTCCAAAACGTGACCGTTTCCAAATGTTTTCCGGACGCACGGAAATTTTCCGGACATTTTCCATACTTTTCAGGACAAATTCCGAATTTTCTTTTTTTATAGGGTTGTGATATGGTCGTAATCCAGAAATTACTTCATACATAATTATACCAAAACTATAAATATCAGCAGCCTTGGTATAATTTTTTCCTCTTAAAATTTCAGGAGCTATATAAGCTAAATTACCATAAATTGAATTTTCTGATGCATCATAATTTGCAGGTTTACATAATCCCATATCAGTTATAACTGTATTATATTTAAGCTTTAATATATTACCAATATGCAAATCACGATGAAATAATTCTTTTTCATGAATGCATCTAAGTCCAAGTATAGCATCTTGTAAACAACCAATCTTTTTGTCCCAATTTAATATACTATAATTTTTATCCAAATAATCTCGTAAACTTCCATCTTCTGCATAATCTAAAATCATCATATAATCTTTTGTCTTTGGATCCTGAGTTATTCCATAAAATCTAATAATAAAATTATTGTCTATTTTTCCTTTATTATGTGACATAATCTATATGAAAGTAGAGTTAAAGAATATATTAATAAAATTAACAATTTCAAATTTAACTATTTTAAATCAATTAAATCAATAAAATCAATATACCTCATTCATAAATTTTAATGTAACATTTTTTGAATTATCTAAACTTTTTAGAGCAACAATCATATTTTTATTAATTCTTTTCCACTTTTGATAACCATCCCATTTACTATCTATATATCCATCAATCCAATTTGCTCTATATACTTTGCCAAATCCTCCTTTTGTAATATATTTAATATCATATAATCTATCATAAGGTATCCATTCTAATGCTTTTTTAAATACTTCATAATTATCATGAACTGATAACTGAGTATCTTGGATAAATTTATTAATATCATCATTACCACTAGTCCAATTTTCAAAATTATGTTGGAAATGTATTGCATTACATGTATCATGGCATTTTTCACAATTTTTACAATTTAAAACCATCATATAATTATTTGTTTCTGGATGTTGAGTTATTCCATAAAATCCATTAATCTACAAGTATAATAATATATTTCAGTAAAATTAAGAATTTCAAATTTTTGTTAAATAATAACTATTACATACCTCATTCATAAATTCTAATATAATATTTTTTGGATTATTTAATATTTTAAGTATCACAATCATATTATTTTTATTTCTTTGCCAATTTTGATTTTCATTATCCCATTCATATATATATCCATCAATCCAATTTGCTCCATATGTTTCACCTAATCTGCTTTTTATAGTGTTACTAAATCTATCAAAAGGTATCCATTCTAATGCCTTTTTATATGCTCCATAGTCATCGTGACCTGATAGCTGAGTATCTTGAAGAAATTTATCAATATAATCATTACCACTAGTCCAGTCTACAAAATTTTGTTGAAAATGAATTGCATTACACGTATAATTACATTCTTTA